TCGGAGGAGGCCAAGAACGGCCGATTAAGGAGGAGATGCAGGTGTAGGGTTTGAGGTTTTTGGAAATCGCCGATTTTGGGACTTGAACTGTTCTTTTCCTCCTTAATCGCCGATTATTATTATTTTTTTCTTTTGTATCTCATGAAATTTTTTCTGTAAAAACAATTACTAAATTGTTTTTATAGCATAGTCAAACAACTTTTAAAATCTTATAAATAATTATTTTTTAATAATAATAATAATAATAATAATAATAATAATAATAATAATAATAATTAAACTGTTATTACTTATATATTAAATTGTTAAATATTACTTATATATGTGCATGTGCACAGGATATCTACTAGTTTTATTAAAACTTGTGGAACCATTTCCTCCTTGCGCCTAGTCTCTCGTTGAGCTACCACCTTCTCTAGAATAAATAATGGATCATCTTCAATAATTCATCAAAAAATGTAGGCTCAACAGAATTCAGTCCTCTGCCGAAAGCTTTTAATAGGGACAAATAAAAAACTGGATGCACCCTTGTTGTATCAGTCGAAATTTACTTAAATTAAATCCACAAAACTCATTAATTTAGGATATATACATAGCAGATCGAATTTTTGAAAATCTATACTTATATAAAAAATCATCTTATTTACTAGAACTGGTAGTAAGAAAAGTCAAAGATAATTAATACATTATATTTCAATCAAGTAGTTTGTTTAATTGGTTTATCCCATAATACCTTTTCAGTACAACTTACCATGATTTTCTATTGTAATTAAAATCAGACTAGATTTTATGTTTATAATCTTGCGAAATTATTATTATTATTTCTATAAAACACATATTATTTGTTAAAAAATTGTATATATATATATATATTATATTACATTTATATATATACCAAACAATATGTCAATGATTTAAATTTGAACACACCTATGTTTTTGACCAAATGTCTAGATGATTTAAAATTGAGCCCATAAAAAATTACTTAAATTTGATCACACCAGAAATTTTATGTATTTCTTATATATAAATATATTGAAAGTGGTATTTAATGACTGTAATATAAACTATTTTAATATATTTTCAATGAATAAAAGATTGAATGAATAATTCGTAATATTATTCATTATGTTTGTGACTAGGGCTGCAAACGACCCGAGCCGAGTCGAACATTGGCCTTATCGAGCAGGATTGACTTTTTTTTTTTAGCTGCTCGAAAAAATTTAAGTAGAAAGGTAAAATTACCAATAAAGACATATGTTAACATATATATAAAGGGTATTTTAGTAATTTAACATTTATCTCGAGCCGCTCGACAAGGCAAAATATGGGTTCGAGCTCGACTCGAGTTCGTGCTCGAGCTACTCGAGCTCAACTCGAGTTCGGTCAAACTCGAGCTCGAGTCGAGCTTTGACTCGAGCGCTCGCGAGCGGCTCGCGAGCCGCTCGGCTCGTTTGCAGTCCTATTTGTAACTCATGAGACCATTATAAAAGTAGACCATTATCTCATTAAGAAGATATTATAGTTATATTATCAAATTATAAAAAAATATATCCATATTGTAAAAAATAAATAATTCATATAATTTTTATAACAATTCTACTAACTATTTAGCTGTATTCCTTTATATTATATAATAAGATAAAAATTAAATATTATATGGTGAACAAGAATAAGTAAAAATGTTACCTTCCCTTATATCAAGGGATAAGTTTATATGTTAAAATTAAATTTTTATTAGTATAAATATTTTAGTGAGATAATATATTAATTATTTTACAAGCTAGCCATAACATGCACATATTTAATGTTCTGGCAAAAAAAACAACGCTGGTTAAAAGATGTAGAAAAAAACTTATAAACCTATTGTTTTTAGACTTAACGTTGATTAAAAGAGGTAGAAAATAGATAATAACCCTATTACTTTTTAGACTTAAACGGAAAATACTGTGAAAATAACTCATTTAATATCTTTGTCCCGTGCACCGCACGAGATACGTACTAGTAAATTAGTAATTTAAAAAGAAAATAAAAAACTGCTAAAAATAAAATACAATAAATGCGGGTTGATTTTTTTTGTTACTATTTCTAATAAATATGTTCTCTCTTGATATAGATTATCGCTCATCAAGATGTTTTTGAAGTACTTCCAATGTGTGTTTTTCTTCCATAGAACTTATTTCTATGATACATTTCAAGATTGAATATAATTCAATTATCAAAATAGCATACATTAGCATTTGTATGTAAGCTCTCTAACAACAGAACAAAATCAAAATGAGTGTCATAAATCTGTTTGCATCAACACATAAAAAAGTAAATAATAAAAAAAAAAAAAAAGCACAACATGACTGCTACAACTTATTCCACTGTATCTTGAATCACAGAGGATAACTTTATGCTAAGACAACACAAAAACTCAACCGGCACTTTGAAATCAGACGTAGGCATCTCTTAATCCAGACGATGCTGAAGGTAAGTGACTTCGACTTGTTTCGTCAAAGGGATCATCGAATTTTCATAAAATCGAGAAATTACAGACGGATCAACCTTCGCCTGTTTGACGATACTTGTATTGAATGGATCAATGTTTTGTCCCAATATCTCTGCTTTTTTCGCCACTCTCTGAATGACTTCGTTTTCAACCTTCGTGTCAGTCAGCAACTTCATTAAAGCGTCTTCGTTGTTCTGCAAGAGTTTGGGATCGTCAATAGTACCCGAAAATGGCTGATTAATAATAATCATAAAATTGCAAAAAACATACTTTTGATCATATCTTTCAATGCAAATTTTAGCATGACTACTAAAAGTACCTTTACAAGTATAGTAGCATTATAAGCTATAGGATCTTTATTGTATTTAGCCTCTGCTACAAATTTTCCCAAAGTAATCCTTTTCGAGATAGCCTGAAAGAAGACCGAGACAAGTTTTGTTAAACGAGCAGCTGCCATTCATTTTCCTAAACGATTTTTTTTACTTTTTCACCGTTTGTTCTAACCTGCAAACAAACTAGATCGCTCGCAAGAGCAGGCGCATAGTGCCCATCGTCACCGTTAATAGTAATATTCGGAAGTAAATCGAGGTAAGCTGTCATTATCTCCTTGCTTTTGTTGAAGCAAGACGCTGGCATGTGCAAAACCTGAGAATTCATTACAATTCAATTCATAATACACGCTGGCATGTTAAACGAGCAGCTGCCATTCAATTCATTATCTCCTTGCTTTTGTTGAAGCAAGACGCTGGCATGTGCATATTACACCTTCAACTCTCAACATTTTACATAATTTTAGTCACAATACAAACAGATTCTTACCTTAGTACAGTTCATCCTAGGAAGAGTCGAACGTAGAAAATTACATCCCGAGAAAGGAGTCTCTTCTTCAAGCGTATAACGACCAAACTACACAATCAAAGCAATGAATTAATTAACTACTGTAAATTTATATTTTTTTTTTTCACCTAATGTAAATTCTTTCTATGGATTAATTACCCTGGCCTGAACAGCTTCGGAATCCTGAATAAAGGATCCGAGGCCATTGCGAGAGGAATCGTACAAGTGTTGATTATATGCGTATTTCGACCTCTCGATCAGACAGAATATGATGGTGTCTTCGAGTCCGATCAAAATGTCTCTCAGCGATTCGAGTTTCCTTAATCTATCCGCTGTTTCGGACAATCAGACATTGTCAAACGTTAATAATTCGTGTTTTTTAAGACATTAGTTAACTGTAAATTGTTGGTAGAAATGAATAAATATGATGATTTGATGATGATGATACCTGTGGAGGCCGGGCTGCAAGCTGAGTACGCTAAAGGAGAACAAAAAAGCTTCTGGCTTTTGTCTGCATAACATGATGATGACAATGAATAAATGAGCAGTACAAGAGACCAAAATTTCATAGAGGAATTCAATTTGGCCATGAGAAACTCTAAAATTTGTTTCGGTTTTCTTACACTAATTAGTTATTAATGTCCGGCTACCAATTGTTCTGCTGCATATATAGTACAGTTTCACGAACCTCCCTCGACTCTCGACTGATGTTGAAATATCACTTGTGAGTCGTCTTACATTGATTTGATAGGATAGATGAAACAAGTTTATAAGTCTAGTGAGCTACTCCTCTCGTCAGCAATTGGTTTGAGATGGAACCCTCACTAAGGTGTATTTTACTGTGTGAGACCACACCTCTGATTCCCTTGATTATTAAGAATTTGACAGCTGACGTCAAATTGTATAAGTATGGTTCTTTGAAAAAATGCATTTGACTGAAGAAATTTTAATATATGGTATATCATGACTTTTGACATTTTTGTATACTTTTAGGAATAAAATATTTCGGTGTAACTGTTAGCCAATATTACTCGAATGATAAAAGTCAAAAGATGTGATTTCAAATAAATAAGGATGGGGTTAATCTTTGTACCAAAAAAAACAAAAAAAGGATGGGGTTAATCTTGCATAAAAGTTTATTTAGAACTTCATATATTCCTTAATGAGTTGTGATGAAGTGGTGAAGTTCACCTCACGTTATAACAATAATTCTATGGAGCCATCAATTACTTAATATACTGATACGTCCAAAGTGTATTTATTATAGGACACGTGTCAATACACTATTTGTGAATAACTGTGGATGATTCCATAAACCGAGCAGTCGATGACTCCATAATAAAACTGCACATTATAATACTTCAATTAATTATAATCTTCCTACCAACTTTAGGGCATTGGTTTGAGATTTGAATGATATTTAGGGACTTTTTAAAATTTTCAGATTTATGAGAAATTTTATGAAATATTAACTCTGAGTATGGGATTTTGAGTGAAATTTCTCATAAGTTTTTTCTCTTGAAATCTCAACAAATCTTAAGAAGTCTTTACAATAATTAAATACGGGAAATTTATATATTAAAAATAATAAAAATACAAATGGACAGAAAAAAAACAAAAAAAAAAAGATGTGGAAAAAAATCAAAAACACGTATTTAGAGAATACGTTTTTCTTACAAATTTAATTGTAAAACGTATTCTCATAATACGTTTTACAAAAACTTTTACAATGTAAAACGTATCTTGAAAATACGTTTTACAATGAAAAATGTATTCTCTAAATACCTTTTTTTTTTCACTCTCATTTATTTGTGTATTTTTTGTTCCAGCACTTTATTTTTTTTTTTCAAATAAAAAAACCTAAATATACACTAGGATTTCTGGCGTTTTAATTTTTTTTTTTAAATTTCAAACGAATACACCCCGTATATTTTTGTGTAAGACAGTCTAACTTTTTAGATATATCGATGTATCTCATTTTTCTAAATAAAAATACATATTTATATGGGTTAAAATCTTTTTCACCCTATTATATATCTATTCTTTCTTTTTCACACCACCCCGTCAAATAACTTCTTTTACACCCAAAATTCACGAAATGCTATGCGATATTGCACTCGCATGTCCAAAATGAACCAGCACATATCCAATCGGCCGCATAATTTTTGACTATGCGTAAATATTTCGCGTTTATTTAATCGTATATCCACATCAAAACGCAT